CCAAGCCTCTCATTCGTCCGTTTCCTCGAATAGAGAGACTCCCGTACGCAGCGGCTCGTGAAAATGGTGTGTGTAAGAGATAAGAGACGAGGTGGTAGACGAGGATTGACGCAGGTCACGGAATCTCGAAATCTTTCGAGCAGATGTCGAACGCGGAAACGATCTCTGTCAAAGAGATCTTTCGTTCGAGTACTGGTCTTTCGTTCTCGGTGGGCGCTCGACGTGGCGCCCTCCCCCCTCCCCCCCTCTCCTTTCTTCTGCCCGCCAGTAGATGAACATCTAAGATCGAAGTCTGTAACGGTGCCTCTAACGTCCCATTTCCGCGATAATAATGCCGTGTCATGTGTTGGGAGGAGAGAGGGAGGGGAGAAGATGAAAGTCTGTGCGTCTCGACGATCAACGTCGTAATTCTCGTCGTCTTGAGCTTATTTCCCAATATCGCTTTATTTCAATCTTTGTCACAAAGTATTATCTAAGTCTTTCTCTTTTTCTAATTCTTTTTGACGATCGATCTTTATTTTGATTTTCACGAAAGCTTATTCCAATATCGCTTTATTTTACTTTGTGACAAAGTATCTGAGTCTCTTTAATTCTGTTTGACGATTGATCTTTATTTTGGTTTCGTTTTTGCTCACGAGAGCTTATTCCAGTATCACTTTATTTTACTTTGTCACAAACTATCTAATTTTTTTCCAATATTATTTTATTTTATAACGAAAGCTTATTCAAATATCATTTTATTTTACTTTGTCACAAAGTATTATCTAAAGTCTCTCTTTAATTCTTTTTGATAGTCGATTTTTATTTTAATTTCGTTTTCCACGAGAGCTTATTCCAATATCATTTTATTTTACTTTGTCATAAGTATCTAATTTTTTTTGACTATCGATTTTTATTTTGGTTTTGTTTCACGAGAACTTATTCCAATATTATTTTATTTTACTTTGTGACAAAATATCTAATTTTTTCCCAATATTATTTTATTTTACAACGAAAGCTTCCAATATCACTTTACTTTACTTTTGTCTAAATCTCTCTGATTCTTTTTTGACGATCGATCTTTATTTTGATCTCGTTTTCCACGAAAGCTTATTCCAATATTATTTTATTTTACTTTGTCACAAAGTATCTAATTTTTTCCCAATATTATTTTATTTTACAACGAAAGCTTATTCAAATATCACTTTATTTTACTTTGTCTAAATCTCTCTGATTCTTTTTTGACGATCGATCTTTATTTTGATCTCATTTTCCACGAAAGCTTATTCCAATATTATTTTATTTTACTTTGTGACAAAGTATCTAATTTTTTCCCAATATTATTTTATTTTACAACGAGAGCTTCCAATATCACTTAACTTTATTTTGTCACAAAGTATCTAAATCTCTCTAATTCTTTTTTGACGATCGATCTTTATTTCGATTTCGTTTTTCACGAGTTTAATAAGATCGAGTTGCAAGGTTGGAGGAGTGAGAATAAAATACATCGGTTTGTTTCACGCGTTTCTCGTCTAGAAATAGAGTGATAAAGCCTGTTGATAGAGGCGGCCGAGGAAAAGGCTCTCGCGAGTGAGCGTCACGCGATCATCTCAATGAGCGCGGACGTTTACGTAAGTGGCTGTTCGATCGTCAACTGGGGCAATTGTGAAATCTTTCGAGATACTCTCCGAAGTGGGAGTGTGGTCGACGATGAAGTTTTCCATCCCGCTGTTACTTTAATCCACCGTGGGTCAATTAACTATAAAGAGCGAATCGGAATCATTTCCCTGACGGAATTGGAAGTTTCGAAGAAGAAAGCAGAAATTGAGATAGAAATAGAAATTTCTTATTCCTCTCTGTCTGAACGAATTCAACAAAATTATTTTCAAGAAAAATTACAATTGATCAACGAAACTGTGGCCAATCTCGACAAAGTCATTTTCGAACGAATCAGAATCATTTTTCTGACAGAATCGTAAGTTTCGAGGAAAAAAGCAGAAATTGAGATAGAAATAGAAATTTCTTATTCCTCTCTGTCTGAACGAATTCAACAAAATTATTTTCAAGAAAAATTACAATTGATCAACGAAACTGCTGCCAATCTCGACAAAGCCACTTTCGAACGAATCAGAATCATTTTTCTGACAGAATCGTAAGTTTCGAGGAAAAAAGCAGAAATTGAGATAGGAATAGAAATTTCTTCCTCTCTGTCTAAACGAATTCAACAAAATTATTCCAATTTTTAAAAAAAATTATAATTGATCAACGAAACTGCTACCAATCTCGACAAAGCCACTTTGGACGAATCAGAATCATTTCCTTGACAGAGAAAGAAAAAAGAAGTTGAGATAGGAATGGAAATTTCTTATTTCTCTCTGTCTGAACGAATTCAACAAAATTATTTTCAAGAAAAATTACAATTGATCAACGAAACTGCTGCCAATCTTGACAAAGCCACTTTCGAACGAATCAGAATCATTTTCAGAGAAATTGAGATAGGAATAGAAATTTCTTGCTCCTCTCGTCTGAACGAATTCAAAAATTATTACAAAATTATTGCAATTTTTCAAGAAAAATTGATCAACGAAACAGCTACCAATCTCGACAAAGCCACTTTCTCGAATATAATAAAGCGAAATACAATCAACATCTCGTTAAAAAAGTAAAAGTAGCCCCCGTTGAAGGAGGTAAATTACCTGTCTACCCCGCAGAGCGCACAGCCACCAACCCTCGAGGCCAGCGGTGTTTTGTTCCAGAACCGTAAGAACGTCGCCCTTTCGGAAAGCAAGCTCGTCCGGAGCTTCCGCTATATTGTCGTACAGAGCCCGCGCTTTCACACATTTTTGCTGAAACATAAAAAATCACGAGTTAACCAGCCTTCTTCGTTTCTATCTCTCCGTGTAATCAAATATAAACAGAATAAATATATACGCGTGCTCTCTCTCGTCCATCGAATAAAATAAAAATTAACGTGTCTCATAGACGTATCTCTTTCGAACTTCCTCTCTGAATATCTCGTGTTTTTCCTAACAATTCGAGACGATTTTTCAAGTTCCTAGTTTTCCTTCTAACCGTTTAATAACGTTCCAGTTTCCTCTCGAAACGCGACAAAGCAAATTAAACGCGATAATATCTATCCTTATTAAGCCCATTGTTCCGGGCATTTTGCGTTTCGAATGTTGGTCGTTGCGAACATCTCGATCCTTCGATCTCTCGATTCTTACACGTGTGAAACTTTTATATTTTAAATATTTGTATTTAGAGAAAGAAAGAAAATTTGGTCGAATAGTTGAACTCTGTATCGCTTTGTAATATTCTTCTTTTTACATTCGGTTCAATCTCGATCTTCACCATCGTTTTCCTTCTCTCATGAATAATTTCGTCGCTAGATAAACGAAAATCAAGCTCCACGAGACTGATCATTACAATATTCACGAAACGGAAAAACTTTGGAAATGATATTCCTATTGCCGCGATTGTCAAACTCGGAATAAGATATCCTCCCGCTTGATTTTCCAAACCCTCCGTACAATGTATATTTTCTTTCGCCAGATCTTCAAAATATTAAGAGAGAGCGTACCATTCCATCGATACTTTTCGCAATATTTTTCGTAGATTTTTGACTTCACTTTCGATTATGAAGATCTAACTACATTACGTTATTCTACGCTTCGCGAGATTAGCGTTAAAGAAGTTGGAAATCCGAATGGCGAAGAGTCATCATCATTTGAATAAATTAAAAAAGAAGTAAAAATAAACGCAGCTACAATATATAATATATAATTCTATAATTGAATATTTTAATATCGATTATTATTATGTAGTCCTAACACGTGCAATATGAGATATTTGTATTTGATGATCGAAATATTAGTAGAATTATTAGGAATTATTCTAAGATCTTTAAGATATATTTTCTTAAAGAGA